ATATATATAATAGACAATATTCAACAAGAAAATCTTATTTTAGCCTATGGCCCATAGAACTTTTTTTTTTCAATTAAATTTAAAAAGCTATTAATTAATCGGACACACACTATTATTGGAAAGCTTTTAATGCAGTTCGGGATATAATTCTAAATGTCTCTACTTATCTCTTGCGTTTGGCTCAGAAATTTAAAATAAACAAATTGATTAAGAGAAAAGGATAAATTATCATATTTCATCTTTCAATTATTAAGCTAGCAACTCACTAGCCCCAAAATTATTGAACATGTATTAACAAATGCAAAGATAACAAGTGTAATCCAAGTAAAAAGGCTTCTGTGCTAGCTCAAATCCAATCTAAATGCATACTGTTATATTCAACTCACGGATTGTCCTTTACGTCAAAAATATGGTGGCATTGATCTTGAAGAGATTTAATGGTTCAGAAGTGAAGAGTACGACCAAGGAGGGTTCATTGACAGAAAATCATGAGGCATACTTATTCGGCCGAGTTGACCTATCGGAGCAATGCCAGCAAGGCTAAAATTGACCAAGCCACGAGGCTGAGAAAAAGATGATTGGATAACCCAAGCCCGAGCCATTCAGCCAGACACGAGACAAAATACCATCCAAGCCAGCCATTGCTGGAAAGACGACCCAATGTAGTAGCCAACCCTTCTGCAGAACCAATCCAAAGGAAGATTTAGTTTCATAGTATCTCTAACCATCCAAAGGACGCACCATAACTTTCTTATCAGGGACTAAGGATTGACAGCCATGCTCTGTCAGCTGGCCGGTCCATACCTTTAAAGCAGGGGCAAATATATAACACCATTATTTTGTATCCTCTTCTTTATAAGTCTATATGAGTAGCACATAAAATCTTTGCTAAAGTTAGCGCACAACTCATCATTCACATTAGATGAACCAATTAATAATTAATAATGCCAACTATTATTAGGAATACTTCTTATCTCACTTGTAGACGTTTTAAATAGAGACGGAAATTTTGTTTCTTGAGATACAAAAGTAATTAATATTAATATATGGGTGCGGTCATTAAAATCATGTGAGCAAAGGGTGTGGTGAGCGACAGCTACGCCTAACAAACAGATTCAATTTTTGAAAATCAGAGGTGAAGCCAAAAGATGAGCCCAATTAATAAGTCCTCCGCATCTACGACATTGGAGTGTTCCTTTGAAACAGCCAACCACTGGTGGCCCTCACCATTGCTTGCCCATCCCCATTTATTTTACACTCTCTAAATAATGAGATCAGTTTGATTTCATATTTTTCTATATATATATATATATATACACACACAAATAATTATAACAATGTACAATAAAAATACTATTGAATGGATCTCTAGCAGATGGCTCAGAATGGGGCATGTTTTGCCCGATAGACCTCTACGAGAAGAGACAAAGGTACTTGAAGAACGACCAAGCAATAGCGAGCGACCAGTCAGAAATTGGTAGATTGGACCCAATGGTCGACCAATCCAGTTGCCAACTGAGCCAGAGATCGCTCAAGTCGAGGCCTCCTGACAAAAAGATAACTCATCAGATATTCATCAACTATAAATCAAAAACTGATCGATTGGGGTTCAATCGATTAAATTATATTTAAAAATGAATGAACAAAAGTTATTATATGAGCCCCCAGTCACCCTCATGGGTAAGTCCGGCCTCACTACCGATAAACTGGCCAGAGGGAGATTCGAACTCGTGACCTGAGAGGACTTACAACCTTCAAAGAAGCTGCTCTACTAATAGGTCACGGTTGATTGTACAATTTATGTATATATATATATATATATATATCAATACATTTATATTAAAGCTCCAGAGAAGTAAATTTAAATTATAAAAAGTAAAGGAATCATGTCACACTTGAACACAAGATTCAATACAAACAAGTGGCAATTACTTGCTTCCTTCCACATGTCTTCCACCGCTTCTACGATTTGATTTAGTGCAAAAAAATAATGGCCACATCAGCGTTCATTTGATCAATAATTGTTGGTGCATCCATATCATGTGGGTCTCCTTCTATGTCAATATCTCGTGTATCATAAGCCTACAAACGAGCACTCCACATTTTTTTATTTACTGCAAAATATACATTTATGTGCCTGTCATTGAAAAATCATACACATTTGAAAATTTAATGGACTATCCAATTGGTAAATATGGGCATGCCCCAACTAATTATTTGAAATTGAACAAAATATTTTTTATCTTTTTTATTTATTTATTAAAACTTATATATCTATAAGAAACTTAGTAATTAAGTAAAAATATTTTTTTTTTTTGTGAAAATTTATATTTATAATACTTTGGTATCATAAATTTATTCATTAAAAAAATTGTATTTGGTTCTTAAAATATAAGTAATAATTATATTTTTAATATGATGTTAATGAATCACATATTATTGATATAAATACAAAGATATGTAGAAAAATATAAATAGATAAGAATTACATGATATATATGTAAATGACAGAATCACCTAACTCGGAACCAAAATTTCCATAGTAAGGTTAAACACCCCCGCTCCCAAACTAACTACTACTTAACCAATTGGTTGGCTAACCCCGGTCCGGCTTCCTTTACCTTCCGCTCCCCGTGTTTGCGATTTCGAGGATAAGAAGGCTTGTCCATCGGGGACTCATTCAGTGTTCCTCGTCGTCCTCCTCCACGCCACTTTCTCCTTCGATGAGCGCGCACGGGAGAGCAGGAAGACAGTAAGACGACCTCGAGGCTTAAAAAAGCTCTCTTTTTTTCCCCTTGGCATCTGGCGGGGCTCTGTTTTCTTCCTTGTATTCGCATCTCCTTTATTTTTTAGAGCGGTGATGGCCGTGCAAGCGCAATACCCTGCGAACTTTCTGCTTCATAGAAGGTAAAGGAACAGTTTTGATCGACCCCGGCTCCTTCTTCTTCATATCGTTTGTTATTAGTTTCTTTCGGGACTGAGTGGTTTATGGATTTGGGGTGCAGAGGGGAGACGGAGAGGAGCAACAAGGAGATGGAAGCGAACTTGCCACCTCCTCTTCTCGAGCAATCTCTTGCTTACTTCTCGAGCAATGAAGGTATTGAGCTTTTCTCCTTTTTTGTTTATTTGCATGGAAACTTTTAGTTGAGGAGAGGAGAAATGATGGTGCAGGCAATGTGAATCTGAGGAAAAGGGGAAGAGAGTCGGCGATGGCTGCGCCGGTGGCCGTGGCATCACCGCAGCAGCAGAACACGAGTGTCTTCTCCATGCAAGCTCCGCAGAGGGTCTTCACACACTCATTACTGGGCGTCGCGCAGCTCCAACCATCGACAAGCCTCCGCCTTGCCTTTAAAGATCAAAACCAGAGTCAGAATCAGAGAAAACAAACTGATTCCATCCTCTCCCTCTTTTCCAAAGAGTTGGCCACTGAAATTAACCAACAGAAACTTGAAATCGAGCAGTTACTCATAACTCAGGTCATACACACAAACCATCCTTTTTCTCTCATTTTCACACAAAAGAAGATATTTTTTCTGATTCGATATGGCTATTTATCTCCCTGAGCAGGGGGAGCAGCTGCGGCGAGAAATAGCGGATAAACGGCAGCATCACTACCAGATGCTCCTCGCATCAGTGGAGAAATTGTTTGGGGATAAGCTTCGAGAGAAGGAAGCCGAGGTTCAGCTCGCCGCACGTCGAACCGCCGAGCTCCAAGACAGACTCGCTCATCTCCGCACGGAGTCCATGGCTTGGCAGGCTAAGGCCATCGCGGAGCAAACGGCAGCCTCTCCAGCTGCAGCAGGCGGCCGCGGCTGCAGCGCTCGCGGGAGAGGAGTGCTCCGGGGAGTCATTCGCCGAGGATGCGGGGTCGGCCTACGTCGACCCGGACCGGTCTGAGAAACCGAACCGGTTGTGCTGGACCTGCCAAACCAGGCCGGCTTCCGTTGTTCTTCTTCCTTGTCGCCATCTCTGCGTTTGCCCCGCATGCGACTCCGTTGGGGCTGTTACTGATGGGTGCCCCGCATGCGGGGCTTTACGGACGGGAAGCCTTCAAGTTTATTTCTCATAAAACTAATAATAAAAATGAAAAAAAAAAAAGTGAATAAATTTTTTTTTTTCGGGATGCAGAAAAGAGAAAAATTCGATTTTATATGTAAATATATATATATATATATTTTAATTCATTTATTTTGTGCCGTATAAATTGGCTTAGACCTGGGTTAAGTTTGTGATTATCGAAATGCAATCAATGTCAGTACTGTGCACATGGGATCCACTAATAGCCGTTTGATCGTCAACGTACGTCTGGGAGATGTGGTCATGACGAGGACGATTGGGCTTTCCCTGGGCCGTCCGTTGTGACTGTAATGGGAGAGAAATGGGCCCATAAAAGCTCCTTTGAACCAGAGATAATTGTGGCTCAGCGTTTTAAATGGGCTTTTGTGCAATACAAAGTGGCGTTATAAGAAGAAAAAAAGAACTGATGTAATTCAAGAATAAATCCTTTACAAAGTGTGTAAGCCATTCCTATTTATAAATTACAGGATAAGAAAGGAAAAGACCTAACAACACTGAGTAACAGTAAAATAAATCGGACCGGTTCAATGTCCAGGTGGACCGGACCAGGATATACATAGGTATATTAATATTCCTTTTCAAATTGATGATCTTTGTCTAATATTTTCAATTTATTATGAAGAGACTAGAATCTGGAACTGGGAATAGATTTGATAAAGAGGTAAGCTGGTTGACTGATAGTGTTGATATGATGAAGTGGAAGAACTTTGTCTTTGGTGCATTCTCTAATATAGCACGATCAATTTTGATGTGCTTGGTGCAAATGTGGAACACCGGGTTATTGGCAAGTGAGATGGCAGAGATATTATCACAATAAAGAGGTGTAGGATCAGGAAGCGTAATTTGAAAGTCTTGGAGTAGACGTCGTAGCCAGACAATCTCTGTCGTCATTGTGGCTAAAGCTTGATAATCGGCTTCAGTAGAAAACCGAGCTATGGTAGCTTGCTTTTTAACTATCCATGAAGTAATTGTACATTCAAGAATTAGACAGAAGGCAGTAGTTGATTTCCGATCAATTGGCTCACCAGCCCAATTAGCGTTAGCACAAGTAGTGAGTTTGAGCGACTCTCTGATGATTGGTAAGCCAAGATGAGTAGTGCCCAATATCAAGGGAGGTATGGATGAGGTAAACGGAGTATGATTGGTAGGAGTCTATGCAGAAAAAGTTTGTGTTCACTGATAGGGAAATATGAGTTCATTAAATATAACATGATGAGAATTTTGGCTTTATTGGTAGAACTATACAGACATTTATAATCTTTTTGAGAAGGGGCATCATTGAGAAAAATGCATTCTTTGGATAAAGGTTTAAGTTTATGATGATGATATGGTTTAAGCCAAGGAAAGCATTGACAACCAAATGATTTTAAGTACAAATAAATTGGTTGTTTATGGAAAAAAATTTCATATGGTGATTTATATTGTAACAGTTTATTGGGTAATCGATTAATGAGATAGCATGCAGTGAATAAGGTATCAGCCAATAAATAGGTAGGTAGATAAGCATCATTTAAAAGGGTGCGAACCTTTTCCATAAGGTATCTATACTTTCGTTCGACCACACCATTTTGTTTGAGGGCATATAGACAATTATATTGGTTTTGAATGCTGAATTGAACCAGATAGATAGTAAATTGACAGTTGCAGTATTCACCTCCACCGTATGCTCTAAGGATTTTGATATGAGAGTTGAGTTGATTTCCAACAAGGCATTTAAATTCTTTAAATTTAAAGAAAGTTTTATCTTTATTCTTAAGCAAATACGCCCAAGTAAAGCGAGAAAAATCATTAATTTAAACAACATAGTATTTATAATTTTGATGAGAGGGGGTAGGAGAAGGAGTGAACATTGATCAAACATCTGAGTGAATAATTTGTAAGGGTGCAGTAGCCATAGTACAAGATTTGGAGAAACTTAATTTCCGACTTTTGGGCAAATTACATGTTGTACAGGAGGTTTTGGGGCTAATGGGAGGTAAACCAGAAGTTAGCCCTTGTTGAATGTCGCCTTCATTTCCTATGTTGTTCTCATCGTGCAGGTGGCGGAGGACACTAACAGCAAGCTCTTGTTGAAGTAAAGTGAGTATTTCTCTTGGGCCATCTTCCTGGAGGGTTCCTCCGCTGAACTCTTCTTTCCAGTGTATCCTCCCTTAACTCGTATTCTTCCTACCTATTATCCTCTATTCTCGATTCTTGGCTTCAAGATCCTGGGGTGTCTCACCTTTCTTTTCTGCCCACTCTAATTTAGCTTTATTTCTTCTTATCTACCTCACTCACGAGCACTCTCTCAAACTCTTCAATTAACATTGAGATGGCCACCAATTCAAGCAATTCTCTTCCCACTGATCTTCTGATTCTTACCCAACTGAAATTTCTGTGGGGCAATATTAAGACTTTGTCTCTACGACACTTGCCGCTAACAACCATCCCATTTGGAAGGCACCAGTGCTGAAATTATTTCCTGCCAATCGGTTCGATAGCTTTCTTGATGTTTCTTGTTGTTGTCCTAACAAATTCCTCCAAGATTCTTCAAGGCTCGATATACCCAATCCTCATTAAAGCAAATGGATCTTTATGGATCAAAATTCAAAATCTCACTCTATCATATCTCCTTAACCTTGACAATTGCGCCGAAATATGGAATACCACACTGAACGAAGACTTCAGTCCTCCAATTGATCTCCCATTCCAACATAAAAATGAACTGCAAGACCTCTCATATATCTCTTCTAATAATCCAGAAGCAAATTTACAAATTTTAACCATATAATTTTTATTTTTCACTTTGTTTTATTTTTTTTTTTTTTTTATTTATTTTTTTTTTGGAAGAGCACGTACTACATAGTTTTCTAATTAAAAAAATAATACTTTTCAAATATTTAAAATTGCAGAAACATAATTCAGTCACATCCAAGCGTGATATTTCGAGGGAAAAATTAGAGTGAAGATGAGTTTTTTATAGCAATCAGATTTATTTTGAAATTTGGTCAACATGTGTTAAATTAATTAAAATTTATATGGCACTCATTTAAGAATAAATATGTTATAAAATAGTTTCATTAAAAGTCTGACTAAGGGTCCGTTTGGGGCAGCTTATAAGTGTGGGCGGCGTTTTCAAAATGTTGTCGTACCGTTTTGTTCGCGCGTTTCACCAGCTTATCTGAAATTGCGTTTAGGTTTTTACACTAAACGCAGGCCGCGGGTCTACCACTGCTGCCGGCCAGCGGCCGCGTTTTAGGATAAACAGCTTATCCTGAAACGCACAAGCTGCCGGAAACGGTCCCTAAAAAATGTCGGCTATTTTTTGCTAATTTGAATTTATAGTATAAATAATTTAGAGCTAACCTAACTAATGCCAAAAGGCTTGTTATGAACAGAGTTTGGGCTGCATGCAAACCTCATTTTCGGCCCATTTTTTACTTTTGGGAACATTCCAAAAACCAACAAGGGCCCAAAAACAGTGCAATCTAAAGGTATTTTGATGGATTGAACGCATCTAAGAAGTTTATTTGTATATCTTTTAGGAGGTGACCGTTTTATGAGCATCTCTTATTTCTTAGACAATCATATGCTTACTAGACATAGTTTAGTTCTTTATTAAAATATTTTTCATTAAAAATATAAAGCATGTACAATGAGCCCCTACATATTTTAAATTTTGATGTTTTTTTTTTATATTTATTTTTATTTCCTAGTAGAAAAATAATATGTTGAAAATATTTTTTCTTTCTTAATTTGAGCTTCACTCTGTCCGAAAAATAAAATATGATATGATATCTTGTGAATGGATGTAAAATTTTAGTATCATGATTGTTTTATCATTATGCTACCAAAACTTATATTGAGTACAATCATAGAAAATATATGATATAACATTATTTATATTTTAGTAATTAAAGTCATTAATATATGATCAATTAATGGTCACTTGAATCAAACCACGTTAGCTTATACGTTCTAGTTGCCACAGTACCACGGATAATTACTTCATACGGACAGCGCATACAAAGATGCATGCTCTGTCTGATCTCGATCGTCGATCACAACAAAACTGTATTTCGGTGGGCCCCATTTAAAAAAACAAAAATGTTGTGATTGATGGCCGAGATCTGTCCGTTTGAAATAATTTCTCTCGTACCACGCGATTTCCTTTGATTGAAAGAAGTGAGAATAGATGTAGCGAGAGATCAATCGAGAGAGGGCAGAAATTATAAATTTCATTTTTTGCCATTATGACTTTCATTTAATAATGATATTTGTGAACATTCTAATAATTTTGTCAGTTTTAAATAAATATAATCTTTTCTGTGGCATTGAAATTTAAAAGTATAATAAGAGATTAGAAGATCATGAACTAACTGAATCAAACCACATTAGCTTGTACGTTCTAGTTATCATTGCCACATTATTCCCTTTGATTGAAAGAAATGAAAAAATATGAAATGAGAGATCAATTGAGAGATGGTGGAAATTATAATTTTCATATTAGGTTCCAATCTAGGCTCTTTGATGATAATTTTCATACTTATGATAATCTTTAGTTTTTATACAAAAAATGCACTTCAACCAACAATATAAGACTTGCCTCATGTTGAGACTTGAACCTTATTTAGGGTTCTATTGCTAAAAAGATAATATTGAAGAGCTTTAGGGGTAATACCCTTTTTAAGTCTATTTTATGAATGTACATATTAAGTTTTCAACAATTTTTTCTACATGGTATCAGCGGCTAGCCGTCACAGCCATTTCTTCCAAAAATGAAAGAGTAAAAGTGTATATCAAAATATCTCAACACAAATCTTAAAGAGATCGAATGCATG